TTAATATGCACAGAGATTCTGGGTATAATTCTCACGTTTTTCTTATAAACTCACTTTCATTTTGAAATTCCGAGTTGGGGTTAGTTGAGCATAGTTGCTAAACTTGTTCTGTCACTAAGACAATTACCATCAACTTCCAGAAATTAATTATTATTTTTAAGATTTAAGCTAAGTCTATGAGTAATAACATAAAGAAATAATGATTTTAAACAAAAATACTGAACATAATGGTAAAATAATTCCTAAGATACGATATTGTTTTGTTGATTCTACTTTTGGTTAATTATTCAAAGAAAATTACTATAAGATTTGTTTTCTCTGTCAATAAATACTATTAATATAGAACTGGTTATTAAAAACTTATTTTAATTCATCACTAATCGACATTAAACCTATAATTTCATTATAATTTCTTAGTGCTCAACTTTCCCCACCTATGGGGTACATTGAGCATACTTGACTTTTTGCATTTAAAGAGCTGTAGTTTTTAAATTTTACATATTATAAAAAAAAATAGTATTATTATTATCGTATAGCAATTTATTGAAACTTTTCATTGAGGAGCTACATCCGTTTAAGTGAAAATTTGCTCAACTAGCCCCGCCCTACCCTACATGTATTCCGAGTCACGGTTCAGAATTTTATTTCATGTGTTAGTAAAATATATATACGTTTTTATATTGTTTATAGCCGGAAGGACAGCGACAGCAGGGTTCATATTTGATGCGAAGTTCCATGAAAAGGACATAAATGTTCAGGAATATCCAAGGGAACAAAAAAATATAAGAGTTAAGTAAATAACTAAATTATTACTATGAGAAATTATTACGCATAATTATTACTATGAGCAATAGTTACGCATAATTATGTCGTAGTAAATAAACTATGCATCATGTCTCCGGAATTAAATTACTGACGCTCGGTAAAAAATATTATGCAGAATTGCGCATTACGAGTTATGCATTTATACTTTGTAATATGGGAGGTTTGGACAAAATGACATAGTGTTTTGTTTTTTTAATAATATAATCTTTACTCATTTTAGATTCATTAACTACCGACTTCAAGAAGACTGAAAAGAAGCTACCCAAAGGTAATATGGAGGACTATATGGAATCACTTATTGAAGTGATTTTCTAACTATCAATATAATATGTATTAGATAAATTTATATCTGTGTTTGAAAGTGTGTGTGTATGTGTGCGAGTGAATGACATAAGCCAAATAGCTCATAGAATTGTCATGTATTCTGATTGCTATTGAAAATAAAATAAAAAAATTAAAAAAAAAAAGACTACCAGTAGCATAGTCTTTTTAATTACGTGGAAACTATAATAACATATTAATTAAGGTAAAATGCAACTAATTACAAAAACCATTTTGTATAAGTTAAGGGCATACTGAGATACAGTAGAAGTCCTTTAGTCCGGCACCCTACAGTCCGGAATGCCCAATAGTCAGGCTAGTAGAAAGATAGTCAAAAACTAGAAATCATCACATTTTTGTTTTTTGTAAAAATTAAGAATTATTTTGTTAAATTTGAAAATATTTTAAATATATATATATGTATATATATATATATATATATATTCTAATAAATGTAAAATAAGCTTTGTTGTTTGTATTTTCTACTGATTTTGTAGTTTAATTATTAATCTAACTGTTTTTATAATTATAGTCTGGATTTTTCGATAATCCGACACAGGGGTCAGTCCCGAGCAAGCCGGACTAAAGGACTTTTACTGTACCTATTTAAAAAAAACAGTTCACAAATAAATCGTTTGGTCTTCTTTTGGATATCAGCATTTGAAGCATGAGTTCAAAGAGAACAAGTCATACATCGTAACCAACCTTCGCCGGCCTTAGAACGCGAAAATGGGCCTTTGGATCCTTTAGCCTGTTTTTACAAGTAGTTACTATTGAATATAAAAGTCAATCATATTTTACAAGTATCAATTTTCCGTTTTCTTGGCTTCGAATAAACTAACCTGTAGTTCTTACGAAATAGTACTATGTCATTTTGTCCGAAACTGTACAAAAATGGATAATTATTCCAAATTCCACATTTCACTAGTACTGGGGCAAAAATTCATTAATGATAATAGAATAATGATTGTTATTTGATTACAAATAACAATGTGTAAGTCCTAAAATACATGACAAAGTGAGACGCCCGTTTAGGTTGATTATGGCGACAAGACTATGACAATGACGCTCAACATCTGACAGGGTTATGACTATGGATTTATCAATGTATTACAGTTGCGTAAACGTAACTAAAACTAGCAAATTTTTAAATAGGGCTGTGACATTGTGACCAGATATACCATTTTGTCCGTATTTCTTTCCTATATAATACTCATATACATTAGATTAGATACATATGTATGAATACATTAGATACATATGTATGAATAAAATGAAAATTTAAGCAGATATCCATTTGGTCATCTCTCCTCTGAATTTATGTTAGATTAAATTAGGTTTAAACCGTTACTAACGTTGCTGATTAATACTTTTAATTATTTCATATAATAATATAAAATCAGATCAAATGTAAAAAACGCTAAATAAAAAAATAAGTTATGTACTTGCGTTTGTTAATTATTAATAATTGATAGAATATGTAAGAAATCGTCAAAACATCTCCGAAAATTGATCTAACATAAATGTAAGACCATGTTGTAAAATAACAGAAAACAATTTTCTTCATACTAGTATAAATAATATATATATATATATATATATATATATTTGTATGTGTGTATGTATATGTATATATTAATTTATGTACAAGTTTTAAGTTAATACGAATGTATATTGTTAATTTATATATACATATGTGCACCTAATATTAGATATCATTTTTATAAAAGACTTTCTGTAGTTGAAGTAAGTCACTTATACAAACCTTGTGGATTCACTCATTCAACAAACCAAAGTCAAACATTTGGAATAAAAATTGCAACAAAAGTGTGTAAAGTAGAGAAAATAGTGTGCTGTTGACAAAAAAATTAATAAAAGTCATGCATAATGTGTAACTTGCAGAGAATATTAAAACCTTCTACCTGATTAAATGTTATAACAATACAACGAAACATTTCAGGTAATTTTTCAGTTTCGTTCACGACACGGATATTTGTTAAGATATGAACGACGTTTTCTTTCTAGTCATAAATAAACGTGAATTATGACTGGAATTAAATATGGAGTAAAAAAACTAGTTATAAATGTTGTAACTAAATGTAAAAATTATGATCTAAAATAATTAATGTAAAAACTTAAGTTATCACTTTTTTGGTACTGGAGAAAAGTTTATATTAGGTTGTTCGAAAAATAATTTCGTTGTTTTCAGATACAGGTTTTAATTGTATTTTTAATCATGTTTTAAGACTTGTTATAGCAAGAAATGTAAGCAAAAAATGTTTGTTCGGTAAAATTTTGAATTGCCTATAAGATTCAGAGTAAAGAAGATACAAATGTATCACTTTCAAGTTGATTGGTGCTTCTAAAGTTATTAGTTACTGCAAACCAAAATAACACCTCGCAAGATGAGCAAAGAGTTAGTTTTTTGAATTGCAGCCTCCATGAACACGGATTTCGTTGATTTGTCATTTGTCCAAATAAGAAATTATTTTCCTAACAATTCAATAAAAACTACTGCCATATTTTAATTCAACTGTTATTAGCGAAATTTGCAGGAAAGTTCGAAAATTCATTTAAAACTATTAGTAGAAGGAATTAAAGTTATGCAAAAGAAAACAAGCGAATAGTATAAATAAATTAGAAGTATTAGTAGTAAACAAAATTAAGTCACTTATTTCAAACATACCATTGGTATAGTACATTGTGTCATTAAATCACACAAAATTTTACGTAAAACACGGTGCAGTTTCATTATTAAATGTTGTCAGAGAAAATATAAGCCTCAACACACTGATTCCAGAAAAAAATCAGGTGATTTGTGCTGTTTTTTTCGTTTTAATGTTGAAGACGATGTATCTTGGTGTGCGAGAAGCCTTAATGACACTAGTCTGTGTAATATTTTTTGTGGACGTGACCAAAAATACAAGAAAAATCATAATTGACAAAAAAATTTCTTTTAATGGGACTATTATATTAGGGGGCCCATTCTCCGATAAAATAGACCGTAACATAACAACGCTCCTTTTTTCATATAAATTGGTAGTAAAAACTGTCAAAATGCTATGTATTTGCTGGCGATCAGGCGATTTACACATAAAACCTAACTTTACGTATGTGTTACAAAAACACATAAAAACGATGCAAATATGATAACATTTCTTTATGTTTGTGCAATTTCTAGGTTAGGTTTTATATCTAAAACACCTGACTGCACAGCAAATACATATCATTTTGACAGTTTTTACCACCAATTTATATGAAGAAAGAACCGTAACATAGCGTTGCCATAACAACGTTATGTTACTATCCATTTTATCAGAGAATTGGCCCCCAAAATTTTTTATTAGTATCTACTAATACTTTTTTCGATAGAGCAGTTATTAAATTTGAGATTTTAAGTAATATTTTGATTTAATTAAATTGTGTTTTAGACGATGATAATGGTGTTGTTAAAAGTAGATTAGACATTGAAAATTAAAGAAAACGAAAATTATATAAATAAAATATTTTTACACTTGCAGATCGGATTTTGGTCATTTTCCACAAAAAATCACAGTTCAGTACGAATCGCAACGATTTTTTTAGTGTCAAGCGGTGATATAGGCGTTAGGTAAACCCAAAACTAAAATCCACGCAATTGTGATATTTACAAGAAAAACACAGAAAAAACTATAAACGGTACTATGATCAGCATCCACAGATTAATGCGATTTTTGTTGAAAAAAGCCAGTGTCTTAATTTTTAATATTCGTCGAACGTAAGTGATGATAATTTGCATAATGATTCATTAGCGATTTTCAATCAACATTTTTAATTTTAATTAAATTGTGTTTGTGAGTTTGATTTAATATTACCTTCGGGATCTTTAGCAATGACAGTAGAGCTCCTGTCGACGCCTCCTTTTTTATCCTCTGTGGAAAGGAGCCAAGTCACAAAACATGTATGAGTAGGAAGTATTTGTTAAAATGTGTTCATTGAAAATGAAATAAAATTTTACTTATAGTGATTCTTGGCATCGAACAACTAAACTACATAAAATAATTAAAAAATATCGCACTTTGGTCAAGTATCGAACTCACACGTAATTTATAAAAACCCTATATAAAATTAGTATTTCAAAATTAAGTAAGTATTTTTTCGTAGTTATTGATATCCTAAAGAAAAATTATTGACGGCAATGTGACATGCATTCAGACGCAGTTTTCGTACAAAAAGTTCTAAACTGAAGATTTTAAGCAATAGTTCTAAATTATCAAACTTTTGCATTATACTTACATAATTAAAATTTTAGCAAGTGTATCACATATATACAAAATTTTATATTCTATACAAAAATTTATAAAAATCTACAATACAGCCGATATTAAAGAACTGACACAAAAATAAAATAATTTTAAATTGTCTATTACAATTTTGTTGAAGTGATTTATTCTGAAATATCGGCTGTTTCACATACATAAACTGAAATTAGCATTTACATAAAAAACTTAGCAGTATAAAAACATACACAGATATGGAAGAAGCAGGTGACAGATTTAGTGGGTAGACAAAAGTCATAGCAGAAATTAAGATACGAGAATATTTACAGCAAAATAATTAAAATTTCTAGCATGAGTTAAAAAAATATTTACATATATGTTTTAAAAATGTAAGAATTCTCGTATCTTCAATATCATATTTTAGAATGATAGTTTTGATATGAACAGACCATTAGCATATAGAATAAAATGTGAGTGAACATATTTTTTTTAGTTTTCGTACACCGGGTCAACAAGTAACGTGCCGAACAACTAAAACATCAAATGC